CCAGCTCCTCGTAGTCCACATCGCTCTGCTGACAGGCCCGCTCCAGCAGGGGGTCCCTCTGCTGGGCTTTGTTCATCCGGAGACACCTGCAGGCGAACACGGCCATCAGAGAGGCAGGAGCCCATCCTTGTCCAACTCCAGTCAAGACCTTTGTCTTTTCACGAACACCGTGAAGGTCTCCTCTTGTGCATACACAGAAAAATCACATCTAGATAGATAAGCCCATCAATTTACCTCTTCCCAGGGGCATTAGTACATGTCATTTGAAATCTTTCAGACATGAAGATCACATAAAGAAAGCGATATTTTCTCAACACAACAGGATGCAACAAAACCGGAAAAAAAAGGAGGTCCTCCTCCCCCCCGAGAACACCACCACCACATAATAAAAAAAACCAAAACGCCCGCCCCCCTGAACGGGAACCCAAAGTCCGCAAAAAACCAACCCCAACAAGGTCCCCAACCCCCAAAAGGGGCCCCCCTTTCCACTGTGCCCCAAATCCCGCCCATCAGAGGGTAGTTGGACAGGAGAAGTGCTGTATGTAATGAAGTCAGCAGTCAGGGCTCGTAACCAGTCCTGAAACTGGGCCCAGAAAGCCTTAGCAAACTGGCAGGCCCACAGGAGATGGGGGTCCCAGTCTCCTCCTCACCACAGCGAGGCCCGGGAGGGAGCTTACCGGAAGGCCTGGCCTCTGGCAGGACACTCCGGGTACCAGTGGTTCTTGTAGGTTTCAAACAAGATCGCCGTCAGCTCCAGGGCGAGCTTCTCGGAGCGGCGTTTTTCCAGCTTCCCGCGTTTCTTGGCTAGCCTGGTGATGAAGAAAACGGTGGCGGCGATTTCCTCCTTCATCGTTCGTCTAAAACGTTTCACGAAATAAAATCGGTTCACCGAAAGACCGTACAGCACGAACACGTCACCGCCCAGCAGCCGGCCTGTACGACCCACTTCTACGGTATAAGAAACCAGCGCGCTTGAAAAAAGAAGCGGCAGTTTTTTCTTTAATTAAAACTATCGTACAGAATATTTCCCCCCTACTATTTTCTTTTTGCTGCACCGTTTAACCTAAACGGTGAAATTGTACCGCACTCGAACACCAAAATCACTTTTTTTTTCTATATAATACGTTATGATACCGCCTCTACACCAACAGCCGCTCCTGCGCCAGTATATAGGTCTGGGGGGGCGGTTCAGGATAGTTACGGACCGGTGTGTGAACAGGTGCGCAGCATGAACTTATCACAACTAAATGATCTGAAATCGCACCAAAGTCTAAAAACGCCCTCAAATACACCTCCAACCGCCTTTAATAAAATGGGTGATCATTGAAATCAATTATTCGATTGAGGGTGCTGTCTGGAGGCGTGTAGTTCCCGAAGTCTCACGTGGAAATACAGACCCTGCGCGACT